CAGCAAGAGAACGGCTCCTGCGTGGGGCCTGTGCCAGCGTTTCAGCCGGTTTTCTTCACAGGAGCTTTTCCCCTTAATATGCAAGGTAACAGTAAAAGTCTCTTCTCGTCTTGTCTTAGAACTTCTGTCACCTTGGACAGTGAAAACAAACTGATCAGGGTTACACGTGTTCACAGCACTTCCAGAGATTTCCAGGTTCCCATGCTTAGGCATCCAGGAAACATTTGAAGGGAATTAGAGAGGCATATATCCTGTTTCTGCTGGAAGTGTTGTTAAAATATTGATGAAAACATTTGCTATTTGTCTCAAAGGCTGTACAAGCAAGGCTGTACACACCAGGGTAATCTAATTCTTTAAATAGCATACTCCAAGCTTCAGCTAAAGAACGTGAGTACAGCCAGTGAGCTCACAACCTGCCTCACACTGCAGCCCTGAGTCTTGAGGGGAACTCTTGGGCGATCTGCCATTTCGGCGGGTAAGTTTTGCCCATCCAAAGAAGGAAATCTGGAATTTCAGTTTCAGTCCAGAATTTCATTCTTGAAATAAAAGGTGTTCTGATGCCATGAGGAGTTAACTGATGACCAAATGAGCAATGAGGAGTTAACTGATGACCAAAAGAATCAAAAAAACCCAATAAAAACAAGCTTGGATTGTTCAGGAAATGGAGAGCCTGCTTTTAAGTTAGCTTAAATCCAGTGAGTGTTCGCATAAAGGTTCATAACATGCACACACACACACACACACACTGTATTAGATTTGTAATGATTTTTTCACATAGGCTGATGAAAGTCAATCTAAAGAAAATAGTGGTCACACAAGTCCAGTTGTTTGCTTTCTGAGGATTCTTGTTACAAATGATAACAAACAAGGTTAACAGAAGTATTTGGAAGTTAGTATAGAGATATCTTTTCCAATTCCTTTATACAGCTGCCTGTTAACGTACCTTTTTTTCCTAATAGAACTGGTGCTTAAAGTTAGGATACAAAACCCAAATCTTAGAGAAAATGACTTCATTGAAATTGAACTGGACAGACAAGAACTGACCTACAAGGAACTGCTCCGAGTGAGCTGCCATGAGCTGGGTGTTAACCCTGAGCACGTACAGAAGATCAGAAAATTACCAAATACAATGTTAAGAAAGGTAAGAACTCTCAATTTTGAAGTGCAGGAACTAACTTATAAAAAAGATTTTTAGGTTACCGTTAAAAAGGAGTAATTTGTTGCTTACCTGCATAGGCCCATGTTGAAAAACAAAACAAAACACCCCCCAAAAAAACCTCCCTTCAACTTCCAGCACTCAGCAGTTGTGTTTTTCAGTAAAAAGGTTCTCAAGTTCCTTGATCGTTTCCTTGCGTAAACATTCGGTGTCGAGCCAATTAATATCTGATTTCTCGGCTGCATTCTTAAACTCAGTGCAATCCCACACCACTGTGACCCGTCGTCAGCACTTAAAAGCCCTGCAGGACTCAAGCTGAGTTTTGCGAGCTCAGTAAGGACTGTACACAGGCCTGTCAAAACCCAGGAAGGTGTTTCCCAGTTACTCTGAGCGCAGGTCTCCGGTGTAACCGTCCTGTCACTTCGGTGACGTTCACCTGTGCAGCCAACAGAAAACGGAGCTGCTGACCTGCCGCCCCGATTCACCGCTGACCTTTCTTTCACTCTCAGATCCCTCTAGGGCATTGTTGCCGTCAGCCGTGGAGCTCATCTGATTAGGACTAGATTAATAGACTTCACTGTGCTGCATCTTCACTGATGACTTATTCTTTGTTGGTCAAGAAGTGGGGGGGGAAAAAAACCCCCCGACATAAGCAATCGTGTCACTTGCCAACTTAGGTCGTTGTTGAAAGAACTGTTTTATTTCCAGCTCTCGTTACTTGAGGCTCTCGGGGTGGGACTGCAGGACATTTATTGTGCCTTGAGGTGACACAAAACTTAATTCTGTTTAATGCTGTTCAGCAGCAGGGTGCTGCTGCGGAGGGGATCGGAGCTCGAGCCTGCGCTGTGGGAGGGCGCCTTCCATGGCTCCCTACGCCCCCGCCTCAGCCAGCTCCTCGGCGGTGCTGGTGGGTCGCTCCAGCGGAAGGTGCATGCAGGGCCTTCGGGGGTAGATGCAAGAATCAAATCCTGAGCTTCTAAGAATGGCCAGGGAGGGGGGAAGGAAGAGTTGGGGGTGGCGTGCAGCAGATCTTTTCAAGTGTAATTCCCCTAATCACTTGCACTCCCCACCCCTGTTGCATTCCTTCTAAAAATAGACTTAAGTGAGTAGCTGAGTAGGATCCCAGAATAAATATAAGATGCAACAGGATGTCTGCTTTGCAGTTTACCGTAAAGAATTGTCATATTTATGGATAAACACATACTTTGTGTTAGTATGAGCCTATTATTTTAACTTACCTCTGCAAAACTGAACAGATGGTTTATCACCTAACAACTTATTGTATTTATTTAAAGGACAAAGATGTTGCAAGGCTACAGGATTTCCAAGAACTGGAGCTTGTTCTAACAGTAAGCGACAAAAACTTACTTTTCAGAGTCCCAACACTTTCTGAACGGAGTGGTTATAACAAGAAGGCATCAGAACTTACATATTAATTGTTTAAAGAATAAACTAAAAGATTTGTATCTCATTTTAAAAGTACATTTAAAATACAGTATCTATAAGGGCTAATGATGTGAAAAAAATAATCTATATTTTGTTAACCCTGAAATAAACTAAAGTTGTTATGCGCAGTGACAGCCTCTAGTTAATCTAAGAGTAATGAGTCTGATATGAAAGTAGCTTAATGCAAAGGCAGTATTGGTAGAACTATCTGTTAATGCAACACTTTTCCTTACAAAAAGATAATCTTGAAATACTGCAGAGTTAGCAGCTCTCAGGGAAAGGCTTACCTTAAACTGTTGTAATAATTTGTTTGCTATAGAATAGCAGGGGTACTCAAGCTAAAGAACCTGCCATGAAACCCACTGGATATTTGTACCGAGTCCGTTACCATCAACGGTCACTTTTTAGGTCGCGTGTTCTGAGTCATGTCTGATGCAGAAGGAAAAAACAAGACGGGTTTAAATCTGTGGAAGAAGCACAAAACGATGTCTAGTTTAAATACTACCAAGTGACTTAATACCTGTGATTTCTTAATCCCTGTTTACACTTTTCCCTATTTCTCAGGTTGAAAACAAAAAGTGATAGTAATTATCCAAATCATAAATATGCTGTCAACCAAAATCCCTTTTATTGTTGTCTGTCAATATATAGTATCGGCATGTGCAATTTAAAATACTATTTTTGTTACTGTATTGAAAACACATTTCTCCAATGCTGCTTTAAATTTCCCCTTTTAAAAGCACAAAAATTGTAATTTTATTTCCCTTTTACCTCTACATTCCTGAGAAAGATTGCATCTTGAAACTTTAAAAGTTGCCTGTGTAAACGGAAACTAGTGAAATGCCCAGGGTTTTCTGGGCTGATATTAAATCTTGATGTTCCTATGCAATGTATTTTCTTTTGTTTTTCCCCAATGACTTGTGTTTACCCACATTGTTTACTGACAAAAAATTTTTAAATCATCACTTTTGCTGTTCCTTAAAATTCAGAATTAGACTACTTTGCTGTGAAATTCTGGAATATGTAAATTGAAGAGTATTTAAGAGCTGGATTTATCTCATTTTTTAGGATTTTACTATTCACTCAGTAATTTGCATTTGAGGAAGAGTTCTACTCTGGTAGCCGAACTGTAAAAGTACGTGCTATGGGTGTGATGACTGAACTAAAGTACGAGATGTAACAGGCAAACAGAACATGCCAAACTGGACTGAATTTCTGAATTTCCCTGTTTTTTCGTCTTCGCCCTCCCTTCCCCCCGGTTTCTTTGGAAGCTACAGCAGCCAAAGGCTTTTTATCGGCTTCTTGTCCCAGAACCTACAGCCCAGGTCAGCAGTACAACGTACGGGGCCCTGTAAGTGGGATTCCCAGCCGTAGCGGGCTGAGCAGGGAGCCACCCAGACTAGCTGGAGGAAACGCCGAGGCGAGAACGGCCTCTGAAGCTCTTAGTGCTCCAGGCTGCCTCTGGCTGGAGCGGGGAATCCACCACAGCCTGGGCTCCTTCCTCGGCGGCTGGGGCAGGTGAAGGAGTTTGTTCTTCCCCCGCAGTCAGAGCAGTTGGCAGCTAATACGACAGTACCCAAATTTACCCGTGCTCTCTCTTTCTCATCCAGTGATAGTACTTTGTGCAAAGGGAAGCAGCTGCAGCAGGAGTGACTTGAGCACACGAGAGGGAGCCCTCTCCCAGTCTGCCTTGTAGTCGGATGTCCAGTGTTCACCTGGAAGCACAGATCCATGGGAACACCCCAATTTCCCGTTTGCCAGTTAACTAGGCTGAAGCTCAGTCTCCCGAGGCTCATAGCAGAACGTTTTGTCACCGCAAAATAGCCTCTGCTGAAAAGCGCTGGAGGTCAGACGTGGTGTGAGGCAGCGGCAGTACCTGTTTGTTACGCGAAATTGCTGGTGGTGCGTTAACTGCTGTATAATGGGGTAATAAAGTGGTTGTTCCTGGCACCGCACTTTGGCTGTGGCTTTCTGCCTGGCCCACAGAGCGGAGAGGGCTCAGGCCTCGGCTGTCTCAGCGGCAGCTCAGTCCATGAAGGTGCCAGGCTCAGCCTGTCAGAGCGGCTGGAGCAGAGCTCAGCTGTTGGGCTGGTGACCCCGTGGTTACACCCTTCTCTCGCACAGCTGCTGATCCCTGTCTATGCATACACCAAGGAATATTTTTATACCTTATGCAGTTTATACAGAGGAGTTACTGTTAACGCTCCTGACGGTCTGATCAGTGTCTCGTTGCTGCGTGCGGTAAATAATTCCTTACTTCGTGCTCTGCTACATGAAATGTTGATGTCAAATGAATGCTTGGCTGCGGATTCCTGTTTCTATTTAAGAAGTATTATTTGTAAGAATTAATAAATGATTATTTTTGTCTTCTCAAAGTTTTTCTGGACTTTACTTACGGAAAAACATAGGACCCTTTTTTTGCCTTTGGGTAGGTTTCTAGAGCGCTTGGTGGAAGAAGTGAACAACTAAAGCAAAAGGCGTTCTATCAGATTCTAGCAGCAAATGTTGGTTAAACACAGTACTGCTTTTAGCTGAGGAGGCTTGGTTATCAATAATAAGGTAGATATTTATTTCTGCAAAACAAATCACACATTATTCCAGGTGATTAAGTGTTGAATGAGATAAATTATATACACATCTGCTCAGCGTGCATGTTCAGCTTAAGTGGAGACTTACTTATGGTGACTTCAAACGTAAGAGACATAGCAAAATTATAATACTTCTGTGCCAATCGTGCCCCTGCAGGCTTGTGTGGAATCTGCTAAATTGGTAGAAATTGTGTAGTTAATGATTTATATTAAGCCATCTGTAGGTTTAGTCTTAAATACACATTAATCGTAATTCTTACGCTGAAGAGGAATTTTCTAATGCTAAAGTTGCCCTGGGCAGGGCTACCAAAGGCCCCGGGAGAGCTCACAGCCGCAGCATTCAGTTCCCTTGACTGGGGGAGATACTGAAAGGAACAGGTCGGAACTGCTCAGAGGTTACACATTATTTTACTTTTTCAGCCAAGTCACTGCTTAACTGGGCCTGCCTTTCCACTTTGAAACCAATGACTCCTTATGCAGAAAACACACAAAACAGGTGTATTTTGTACCATTAATATAATTTACTAATTATAAACCTGAATACAGTACATATTGCCGTGATACATACGTGTTCTTGGCAGAATGTTTGGCATTGTTTTGGAAAAAAGCATATAATAAAATACTTTATGTATATAGAAAATATTAAAAAATATAAAATTCACTTTCTGATCCTTATAATTGTAAAATACTTTGTTCACATATCACAGGTTTAGTCTACTACAAAAACTGTTTTGTAAATTACAGTACATTCACAAGTCACTTCTATGGCAAGTCAGTAATATTAAAAAAAATCCAAACCAGAAACCCAAGGAGTCCTCTCGTCATGCTAGCCCGGCATCTTTGGCCATGCTGTAGAAAATACCCTTTGATGCAATCAGGTTTGCAGGTGTATCGAATTCAGCTATAGTTCCGTTGTCTAGGACAAGAACCCTGTGCAAAACAAAAGGTGGTGGGAAGGTACGTCAGAGAATCCCTCACAAGACACGCGATATCCCTTTTCATCACAAAGCAAACTGCTCTAATCTTTGCCTTGCCTTTGTTTCCCTCAATTATTTTCACACGTTGAAACACAACAGATTGATAAACATTCTCTCTGAGCTGCTGTTTGATTAAAAATGGTACAGAACAGTCACTATCTCCCAGGGGTAATAAGGGGAAAAAAAAAAAAAACCCCACAGAAGTGTCATACTGGTAGTTCTGAAACTGAAATTATAGCACTGGAAAGCCAAGGAGATAAAAGCTCACGAAGTATAGTAGTATATTTTAAAGCAGTGTATTTGAAAGTAATTCATGTGACATGATGTCAGTGAAAAAATTACAGCAGCTGGTAGTTAAAAAAGGATCCATAAGCTCGCTGACGGTGCCATTAAGGCAACTGGGGAGTCTATCTTGTGCAGCTCCCGTTAGTGAATATAGAACTGCCAACAGAAGCAGAGTCAGGTCTGGATATTCTAGGGTTATATAGCTTAACCACCATTGCTTACATGCTACCTGACCAGAGCATCACTGGGAGTCCAGAGACAAACCAGACCCTTTTAAGTGCTGCTTCACCCACCCGCTAACCCAGTGAACCCGCCCAGCGCCACGAAGAGATTTTTACCTGGTGTAATCCATGATTGTGTTCAGCCTGTGCGCTATTGTCAGCACCGTGCAGTCTTCAAACTGGGTCCTGATGGTCATCTGGATAAGATCGTCCGTCTCGAGATCGATCGCTGCTGTCGCTTCATCGAGGATCAAGATCCTTGTCTTGCGCAGCAGTGCTCTTGCCAGGCAGACCAGCTGTCTTTGGCCGACGCTGCAAGCAGAGACAGGGCTTTCACACACGAGGCCCCGCTGCCCTGAGCTCTCCGCTGCTCAGAATCACTTGTGCTAGAGCAGACTGCTCACCGGGTAAAGTTACCGGGCAAAAAAAAAAATGACAGTCTTTAGCAGAGAGCCTGGTCTGTCAGCCCTAGAGCGGGTACAGGCACGCTGCAGCGTTACTCAGCTCGTTCTGGCGTACGTGTGCACCTACTGCCTGACCCAGCACTGACAGAGCCACCAAATGCCCCTTTCTACCACTGTGACAAAAGCCAGGGACACTGCTGGTTACGACGCTTCTGCCCGAGCTTTCAGAAACACACACAGTTGTAACATCGCTGAGCATATGCAAACTTAAAAAAAAAAAAAAAAAAGATTTAAAAAACAACAACAAAAAGTATTCTGAGGCTTTCTACCGTTAAAAAAACCTAAAAATATCCGGGCAGCCCACAGTTCCTCCCCTGCCACAAACACAGCCCAGGCCCAGCCCCCGCCCAAGTGTCTCTGTGGGGTGAGGAAGGAGCTGAGCATTCATGACAGACATAACCTGGTTACACCACGGGCTCAGAGGCCAGCAGAGCGTATCAAAGCATGACATTTCATCATCCCCATCCAGGTCTTCATGGGTCTTCCAAATAATAAGCATGGCTGAAGTGTCAGTTTAGGCAGAGAGCTCTTCTTCAGCACAGCAGTTAACATTTGTTATCATGGCACTTCCCTTCCTACCAAGCCACGTT